TCTTTTGTACAAATCCTCAGTAGATCTTGTTAAATGTTAATGAAGGTGCTACTTTAGTAGACGGTTGCACGGATTTTGGCGAATTTTTTTTTGGCGAGCGATACGACTTATGGTAAACACATTGTTAAACAAGTTATTTATTGTAACCGATACTTTGTTGTCATTTTATTTAAAAAATAATGCGTTTTATTATGTGTAAATTGCGTGTTTTAAATATTATTTATGGCTTCTAAATATTAAAAATAAATTTAATTTTGCATTTTTATTTGAAACAAAAATTTTATTGTGTATGATATTTTATGTAACTTTATATTGTGGATGATGTAATGAATGACGTCACATAACTTTAAAAGTAATCGGTTTTAATATCTATAAATTTAATCTAATGTTTTAAACATTATTCATGGCTGTTAAATATTAAAATACAATTTTATTTTGCATTTTTTAAATGATTTTATTATGTATGATTATTTAAATAATTTTAATTCTATTCGTGATGTAATCAGGTCCCTGATTGGTTACTAAATATTTGTGCATTAACGTGCCATTTTAAAATTTTATTATTCATCTCTTCGAATTACTCAGATTACACTTTTCAAATTTTTTCCCTTAGATTACATTTAAAAATTTTTTCAACTTTTTCATTAGACTACATTTTAAAAATTATATTACATTTTTCAAATTTTTTTCATTGATATCTAAATTATGATTCAGATTCTTTTTGTGGTACTTAGCAATTTACGACAGGTTAAATACTCAAAAAAATTTAAGTACATATTTTTTCTTTTTTTATAATTGTATACTTCAGTTTTTATTTAAAAAAATAATACACTGTTTTCAAAAATTGCCGATATATTTATTGCCTGTCACATATGTTTTAATGTTAACTAATTATATCCTATAAAACTTATTTTAAAGGATTTGAATTTAAGTAATATTTTAATTCTTTTAAACGTTGGTAGGATGTTTTTAATTCGATATTCAATTTAAGTAATATTTTAATCCAATTAAACGTTGGCACAATGTTTTCATAGCGGTGTTTTTATTCTATTTCTTATATATTACTTTTATAGTAAATGTATTTATTTACATTTTCCTGTTATCTTAAAAAACGACATTTTCAACAAAAAATTAATTCATTATTTTTAACGATATTTATTTTTTATGTTTCGAATACATTACTATGCGTAAAATACGTAAAAACAGCGTTTTTCAAGATGGCTGACGATTGTAAAAACCGCGCCAACGTAAATCGCCCAAAATCCGTGCAACCGTCTACCAAAGTAGCACCAACATAAAAGTGTAAAACACAAATTTCCATACTGCAGCTGACGTCCGAGATAAAGTCCAAAATTTTCCAGAATGTGCATGATTGCTTGCGTTCACTATGTTAGGCATGTGTTAGAGCCAGGGATTAATTTCTAACATTAGAAGTACCGGAGTCCTATGAGGAAGGCCTTCGGGAAAGAAGGAAAAAAAATAAAATATAACTATAAATAAATAAATAAAATAATTAATAGCTAAAAAATAAAATGAAAAAATCCGAAAGCTTTCAGGTTTTAAATTACGTCTTAACATTTTATTGTGTGTTACCTTTATTTATTAAATATCAAGTTCATCATATTTATTAAATATCATAAGTGCGACACTTAAACCATAAAATTCAGTTCAAGCAATATTGCAAAATAATTTTAAAATGAGCATATCTTTACACTTTAGGATAACAGTCTCGCGCGGTGGAACTAAAAATGCTTTTTTTTCCCGTACAGTGTTGCCAATTTACAATAATAAAAAATTCGTTATTGTTATTTTTAAGAGAAAATAGAAAGTTCGTGTAGCGTAAATGCGAGAATACATTGTGACGTCACATGCTTAGTCCCATCCACTTATGGACGTCACACAGTTCCGTCTTCTCAACTTTGTTTATGCAGCATATTCTGAGCTTTTACCAAAATTTCTTATGTTTGTTGAAGCAGTAGTGTTATCACTTCTGCTTTTATGTGGTTTTCAATACCAGCCTTTCCCTTACGTGCAACAAAAAATTCTTCATACATAGGGTGCAATAACTGCCTTTATTATTAACGTCATTATACAATTTCAAAAATTTGTATCCTGTTGCAGGTTAACATTAGACACACATTTTCTTTTGCCCATTGCTAAACGGTGAGGCAAAAAACGAATAGGGATAAAATGATCAAAACCATATACACAAGTTACTTTACACACGCAAACAACAGGAACACATTACCTTTGTTGTGCTGCCAAATGAGCAAGTAAAAGGTTGTGACAAGACCCGTAGCCACGCCTTCATCAAATCCACATTAGCGCTTGCTCAACACCGAGAGTCGGTGTTGGCTTGCTCCAAGGTCGGCTGAGAGATACATGGCCCAAAGGAAGTGCAAGATTTATGTATAAGCTATACAAGCTATAGCTTGGGACGCCCGCTGTCTTGGGGGCCCCCAAAAAACCCTCTAGGTATCCGAAAATCATATTTGGCACTGACATATAATATCTGGACTTATAAAGGGCCCCATATCTAAAATAGCTTATGGTCTTATCAAGTCTAAATCCGACCCTCCCCAAAGCGGATGCTTAAGAAAGTTATCACTTCTGCCGAACATATAGGTCTAAAATTTAAAAAAAAATCAATCGTAGTAATAAAATTCTCAAAGCCTGGACACTTTTTAGACTCCGGAAATCATCTCAGGGAGCACTGAAAAACAAGACTGTCCTGGCTACTCGCAGATGTGTGATAAGTCTAATCAAGCAGAAGGGAAAAGATAAATCTTTTAATGATGGATCTACAAGGGATCTACCAACAGGGGTTGGAAAGATTTGGGTTGTTTAGATCAAGGCTTCTTAAACTTTTTTCAGTCACGACTCCTTTTTATCACTGGGAATTTTTTCGAGACCCCAGGACCCTATAATACTTTCGAAAAGTTTGTGGGACCCCATAAGCATTGCACAAATCCGATACACACGTGCGCGAAACTTTCAATTTTTTTCACTTGTACTGCCGAATTACTAAAGATTACATTCAAATTCTACGAAAAATATGATTCCTCCACTCACGAAGTTGTTAAAAACATAGGGGAGTACGACTATCTAATCAAACAGCCGCATAAACATCCCAGAACTATACATTATAATGTTAGAGGGTAGTCCTTGTATATATTTGGTTATTTTCAACTATTTAATCTAGATTTTATTTCATCTTTATTATCATTTTCATCTTACTATAGACTTTGCCGGTACCAAGGCTGCTGACTTTATCATCATTAAATTCGTGTATCACGTGACAGTCTACTTCCCTATGAGTATTAAGATATAGGTACTTTCGCCTCAGACGAAAGCAGAAAAATTTCTTGGACTTGTATATATTATTTTCCATTTTTACTGTAAGTTACTGTGTCAAATCTACGGTAATGTGTAAAAGATATGCCATTGCGAAAACCTATGCCAAAATTATTAGTTGCTATTATTGCTTATCCAACGAAGACTTCATCTGTGGCTATATATAGCGTCACCCCTGATCAACTTTTTCACTACTGAAGACCTTGCACTTTTATTACAAGTGCACAGGACTTTTCCATTTTATGGAATTTAAGGAACTTTTACAGGTCCTTAGGGGGATTGATAAACATGTAGTGGCCTTTGGGTCGAACACCACTTAACGAATGATGATCTCCGATCACTTGTACTATTGCAGTTTTAGGTTATAAGCACACTTGTTATGAATCCTCAGTTGATACAACGTAATACAGAGAAAATTTTGCTATTCCAAGGAGGTCTGACTGAAGTACAAAATAATAAAAAGATCACAAATCATATCAACACCAAATACAATTTTTATTCACCAACTCAGTAATCAAAAACTCATCTTCTAATAAAAAAAAAAAAAAAAAAAAAAAAAAAAAGGATTCTAAAGATAGAGCAAAGCTGTTGCCAAAAACGATTATACAATAATTTGCAAATTAAACATTTATAATTATTAAAATATTTGTGAGTTTCAAGCTAATTATTTACATTTTATGCCGTTACAAGGTCATTAACTTTAATTTCCAATTTTAAGACAGAACAATGTGAAAATTTTAAATAAGTAACAGACGTCACGAGTAAAGCAAGTAAAATGAACTTTTATATTTTAAGAAGAATGTGGTGAAACGTTTTCGTTTTTTCATTATCTTTATTCGCTTATCTATATCCATTTGCAGGAACATTGTGTAAAAATATTTGGTAACTGTAAAATTATTATAATAAGTTAAAGGAATATTAAAATTGCTAAAATATTTGGCGACCTCCTACTGCAGGCAAGGCCAACTAGATATCTAGCTGCAGGTCCCCCGACTCCCAGTTTAAGGAACTCTGATTTAGATTATGGCAAAGCATATAAGCGACATCTAACTAAGGAAAGCAATCGTAGGTAACGTTACACATGGGAAAAGCATGAAAACTCCTAGGCAGCCAGTCTGTTCGACAGGATTTCAACATGAATTAAATAACCGAAGTTCAGACGTGTCACCGCTCCAGCAGGGAAAATGTAATTTTAGAAATTAACTTGACATCAAAAGACCTATGGGCACTGCAAAGAGAACAATTTTGGAAGTAGAAGCAGCACCGATTTTGCGCTGGTTTAGAGGTAAGAGAGGGAACAAGCTCCAACAAATCAGGGAAAGATGGATAATTTCGAGAGAAAATAAATTAGATTCATCTTTAGATAAAGCTTTAAAAAGTATCCTTAGTCTTACTGCTGATATAAAAAATAATTGAACAGTTGTCATTATATCACAGAATTTAGAATTTCGCATCTTGGAGAGAAAATTCAAATCTATTCTTTGAGCAATATTTTTAAGTAAACCATGTATGTATGCTCTTTGATTTATTTAACATGTCTTTAAAATAAACAAAACAAAACTTTTAGTTAATCCCCTGTGTTTAACTTTTCACAGCGTAATTTAGCATTCGGAAATGGCAGCTGCAAACATTTCTGCTAGTAAATAAAAAAGAAGTAGCAAGTGTGACAGAGGGAATTTTGTATTGTACGATATCTGTGGAGAATATGAAAATTTATTGAAGGCGTATTTTGCTTCCATAAATTTAAAAATTAAGATCTTTTTCTAAAAATTCCTGGGCAATCCGTAATTTAAAAAAGTGAGCTGTCTAAAAGATTATATTTTGAATTTTTATCAGCAGGTCGATTTGCTGATGGTAGGATCCAGTGAAATTACTTACTGACTGGAAACTTCAGTTAATGTAAACTTAAAAAGGCTGTTTTCAGAGGGAGCAGTATGATCCTTAAACACTTTTCAGCTCTGAAACTAAGTATTCAAGAAAGTTATTTTTATAGAGCTGCGAGTTTTAAGGTAATTGAACTCTTAAGAAGAATCATAATCAGCAAGATTTAAAAGTTGTTTATGTATGTGAATATACTGTTTAACCTTTCTGAAAAAAATTACATAACAAATCTGAAAGTAAAAACTTGAATAATCGAATTACTAATTCCAAATGTACGGTAAAATTATTAAAATTTTGGTGACTTTAGTTTGTTTCATTCTCATATTACTATGTTTCTTAATTCTTCTGTGTTATGTAACGAATGATTTTTCTAAATTTAATATCTACTTTATGACATAATATGGTTTATGCATTTAATCACTTTTTTTTTTTTCCTTCTTTTTTATATTGGATACTTTCTGATTGGGAATATTGTATGTGGCAGCCAACTATGTCGCTAAAAATATTTATGTGGCAAAATGATATACATGTAGCATCCCTCAGATAGCTTTCCACTTCTCGGGATATTTTCATTAGTGTAACTGCAGATTATGATATCTTATATGAGATTATGATATCTGCATTCTTAGAAAGTAATGTGGTTTACTTAAAAACATCATGTGCCTCTTTTTTTCCTTCTCATTTTAGGGTTTGGGTGCTAAAGCTGAGTTAGTGCAATTCTCTAATTTTTTGCTATAGTGAAAATAGATGGGGGGGGAAGTGCAGAATCACCCACTGCTTGTCACATTTTTAAGAATTGCACATACTCAATATCCATGTACACATCGACCTATTTTCACTTAAAAAAAATCCTAGAATTGCACAAAAATGGCATTGTGCACTCCCTTGACTTTATCCATGTACGCATCGACCTATTTTCACATAAAAAGTCAAAGAAAATTGGCAAAAATCCAATTCTTCTTACTGTTGTAAAAAGCGCCAAACAAATAAGTGGGCGATTCTGTACTTTACCTATAGATTGTTTCATACATGGGGAGAACAATAGCCCTAAAGATTAAAGAGTGTGTCTGTAATTTATGGAAAAAGAATAATGGAAAATAGGTGCCACTAGATACATAGCTGAAATATACCTAAAGGTATCAAAATAAATGTTTCTTTTTAAAGTCACTGGAGAGTTTGCAACTTTTGGTTAGAGTAGAGAGAAGGGTACTCCTGGTATTATCACGAAGTTGTTGTTTCATTTATGGTAGTCTAAGTAGTTGAGTGTTATGGAAACCCTATTATGACATAATTGGTTGCATGATTACGGTAAATTCGTAAGGGCTTGTGTGTGTGTGTGTGTGTTAGTGTTAGTTAGGAAGCATATTGCTTGTTTTGTGGTTTAGACGGTAAAATGCCTGAATGTGGTAAGATTAATTTGAAGTTTCTGTACGATTTGGAAAGAATGGGGAAAAGAGCATTACTTGACTGGTGTGTAAATAAAGGTTTACTCAGTAGCCATTATTAAGTGTCCTGTTTGTAGGAAGGAAATGCGCATGGTCGAACGTTGGGCAATAATGGTGCTTATTAGGATATTTTTTATTCTTATTTTGTGAATTTATGTGGCGATGCCAGCGTACAGATTTTAATTCAGATAATTTTAGGAAGTTTTTGTATGCTGTTAAGGAATTTTTTTTGACTGAAGACATGTTTAATTCGTAAATAAGGTAAGTGGGAATTTCCTTTTTTATGTTATTTCACTGTTTGATTTAAAATGCAGTTTATTGACAATTATATATTATTTTGTTGGCTACTCCTTTGACTTTTTAACACTCTGTCAGGCGCGTCTCAAATCTTGCGGCATTGGGCGTGCTGTATCTATTAGATACACCTCTATTTTTGCATGTTTTCTGGTGATCTGTATTACTTTAAATCTTCTATTTTTATTCTGTTTAGGTACAGGCTTTAACACCCAGACTTTTCTTTATTTTTTTATTAATTTTTTTAATTTTTTATTTATTAGGTTAAAATGCTGTTTAAAAAAACACACAATGAAATATGTTAATACATTTGAAAAAAAATTTTTAATGTGGCAGTTGTTCACAAATAATTAATATCACATAAAAATACATAATATAAAATGACAAAAAAAGGTTGATCTTTACATTATGGTAACTTGGTGATTTTTTGGCGAAAATTTGGCAACCAACTCTCCTACAGCAACCCTCTATTTTTTTTCCCCCGCCGCCATTTTGTCTTCACGAAGTAAAGACATGTTTCTTTTCTTTTTATCTACTGAACACTTCTTCCAACAATCTACTAGCCGAATTACACTTATGCTAGAAATTTTATCTAACAAAACTGCTTAATCATGACAAATATTCACTGCAAAATTGGGAAAAAGTGCACAATACCATACTCCTTACGCGTTTTTACGCGTTTTTCAAAATAACACATACACATAAACCATGTACACGCCGACTTATTTTTACTTAAAAAAACATCCCAGAATTGCACAAAAATGGCATTGCGCACACTCTTCACTATATCCATGTACACTGCTTTTTTCTCATAAATTAGAAAAATTTCACGAAAAATACATGACAATTTTCTCAATCTTTAAACCCGGTAAAAAGAACATATATGAAATTACCTGATCGCGAAAAAAGTATTTACCCTTTCCAAATATGAACATTTCCACATATAAAATAAATAAAATATCCAAAAAACTTTTACCTCTAAATCAATCTATTATATTATAAACGTCACCAACGACGAATTCATACCGCAACCATTACAAATACTTAGTGTCAGATATTTAAATTATTTCCACGCACGTTTACTTCAACTAAAACGTATACCAAATTCCTACAAACATAAAATTCACAAAATAACTATCATTTCATTAAAATATAATTAAATTCAAAAAACACTACTTAAAATATAAATGAGCACATACATTAAATTAATAAAAATTACCTTACAATCCTAATTACTTTAAACTAAATCATTGCTAATAACAATTTTCCCAAAATACCAAATTCCTTTCCACCTTACATTTAGAACAATGCATAAAATAATATATCCTCAAATAATTAAAAATACTAACTTATCTAATCTTCTTCAGAATCTTGATTACGTGGCGGATACACTTTTCTAATTCATTCAATAAAATTATTGAAAGATTTTTTCTGCGAATTTTTCCTCCATACTTCCTCCGCTAAATAAAAAGCAAACTTCTCTTTATCACAAGCCTAAATACCCATTTCGAATTCACTTTAGTAGGGCCATGGGATCCAAAAATTAAACAACACTGTTTCACACAACACAGAATAAAGCTAAATAGAAAATTTCCAATTTTTTCCCGATTTCCCCCCCCCTTTTCCGATTAAAGAACCGTAATTCGTCCATTAATATCACATGACATATCCCATGATCTCTCATTTCCCTCACGCAAAATAATGCGTAATCAGAACTGAGTACTGTTCACATTATTACCAAAGTCCCAGGTAGTAACCTTTATTGCCTCCAAAATGTCGCCAAACTACCAGTTACCATATTGTAAAGATCAACCCAAAAAAAATCAGTTATACTTTAATTCGATTCTAAATTTAAGTTTGGTTTTCATTTGAACATTTCTGACACATCATTACTGCATGTTCAAAATAAAAATATTGAGCACATCTTATGCGGGAATATTGGGTCAGTCTACTTTTCTTATTTGTTTGACATGTAGAGCACCTTTTGCGTTTATTTTGGTTACTGGGAACCTTTGCTTTCTTTCCTTCTTCAGCAGTTGGTCTGTAAGTTTTAAGTTTCATTTGCAAATCCTTCTATAAATTGGGTTTAGTCATGCGCCTAACAACTTCTTTATTGACTAATTCTTTCACCAGTATTTTCAAATACTCTCTCCTGTTCGGAACAGTGTTCTGGTTTCCCCAAAATGCAACTAGTCTGTTTATACCTGAAATATTTAGCATCGAATAAAATACTATCATCAGCTATCTCCTTGTATTGCGAGTGCAATTATAAGTTCCACACATCTTATCTAGAGCATCAACACCGCATTTTGTAGCATTATAAAATGTGATTATATTTGGCTTTTTTTCATCTTCATTGTCTTCATCTATAGCATCATCAAAATGCATACTTGATACAAGCAATTTTTGCCTTTTTTCGGTACGTATGAAACTAAAGTGCAGTTTCTAGAAAAAACTAATAAGCTTGAATGTACTTCTTTTCCTTTAGATTTTGCAAAACAGGGAGGTATTTCTTTTTTATTCTTTCTTATTTTTCAAATCTTTTAGGGCTTTTACAACATGAATAGAGGTAAACCAATTATCTACGGTGATATTGCGACCGCTGTTGAAAATTGGTTCAGATAATCGCAGAACAACATCATCAGTGAGGAATTACTGACGCTAAATGGGCTTTCGGGCTGTTTTCCGGCATATATTTATAATTTCAATGTATAAAGCGTTTTAGCATCAACTGCTGCAAAAATTTTAATGCCATATTTATTTGGTTTTGATGGAATGTACTGGCGAAAAGGGCATCTTCCTCTAAAACCTTCTAATTTCTCATCTATCATAACATTTTGTTCCACGCAATAATTACGCTTACATTTTTCCACAAATTTCTCAAAAATTTCTCTAATAGGTGCTAATTTATCTGTTTTCCTTCTCTCGTTCCTTGTCTCTTTATCATCAAATCTACAGCATCTTAGAAGAAATTTAAATCGCTTCAGACTCATTACCCTTCTAAACATCTCAATACCCATTCCATTAGTAGATCACAGTTCTTCCAAAATTTTGTTGATTACTTCGCAAAACGCCAGCTAATAAAAATAAACCTATAAATGCTTTTATTTCAATGATATCTGTTAGTCTTGCATCTCTTTCTCTGCTAAATAGATCAAAAATTGTAGAAATGTATTTGTTAGTGTATTTCACAATTATTTCCAATATTTCATCAGGAAAAAAAACAGTTCCAAGAGTCGTATATAGTTTTTATACCTTTCGCATTTCCGATTACTCCAGGTAATTTTGTGATAATATTCTGCGATCGAACTTTGACATTTTTTCTGCCAGGCGATTTTGCCCAGTTGGTGTTTTTGTCTTTTCCTACATAAAAATCACCATTGTTAGCATCATCACTTTTTCATCATCACTTTCATCAAATTCTTCAGCATTTAATTCCTCATTTCCATCACTAAACAGAATATTATGGACTAGTTCAAGGTCTTTTTGATTATTCAAATCTAAAAAGTGTTTACCACTCTCATGGGAAAAATAAATAAAAAATCTATAAGAAATCTCGATATTTCCATAAAAGCTTCAGGAGACAAACGTTATCGGGCGCGTGTATCTAACAGATACAAATTTTCAAATAAGCTTAAAAACAGGAAATACTCCTACACCGAACTGGTCATTACTGCATTCCAGAGGAGTGGGTGGCCAGATGGACAGATACTGATAAGGTCAAGGTCATGAGAAAAAGTTTAAGGGGACAAAAACAGAGATTTTAACACGCCTGTATCTGTCAGATGAATGCGCTCGATGGAGTGTTAAGTGAATGTAGTTTAAGGTGTACATGGACAAAGTCCAAAAATCACCGCTACACAAGCCAAAATAGCAAGTCAAAGAATTGCACAAACTCGGTATCCATGTGCCGCCAAAAATGCTAATTTTCGCTAAGGGGTACTCTTAAATATATTTGTACCCAACTTTTTGGTGGAGATACGAATAGTTGGAAAATACCAATTATACCTTGATGATAAACAATTTTTTTAAAAAGTGAGAGGAATTTTTTTTACGAGAAAAAGGAAATCGATTAGATTCTTAATTAATGAAAATAAAGCATTAACATATTATTGGATTGCCATTGCATATATTCTTTCAAATTAAATTTTATTCAATGACCTTGTTGAAATCCTTTGTTTTACTATGTTCTTTGTCTATTTTAATATTTGACCTAACCCTAAGATCTCCGAAAGAAATTTACATTTGTAGGTGTAATCGAAAAACTTTCAAATCCTTTTCTGCAGATATATGCCATAGGTATTACAGTACCCTCTGATTCTGAAATAAATAAATATATAAATGAATGTGAAATGAAATACAAATATGAAATAAATATATAAATGAATGTGAAATGAAATACGAATTTGAAATAAATAAATATATAAATGAATGTGAAATGAAATATGAATATGAAATAAATAAAATAATAAATACATAGTTATACCAATTTAGAGTTAATTTATGTTGATTGTGATAGTCACAATGCTCTAACAATTTGTTTTGCTATTAGGAAAAAGATGTTATTATAGCACACCAATCATAAATATTGTTAGCCAAGCAAGAAACTAGAGATTATTGTTGCTATGCAATGAAATAAGTTATTAAGACAAAACAATCAGCTAAAATGAAGTTATTTTTGTGAGTACCAACTATTACAAAAGCAATGTTATCTGCATCTTTTCATTACCTTTTGATTTGAAGGGAAGAATGCTTAGAACTCAAAATAGAAATCCATGAAATAGCAATTTTATGTGTGAACAGGACGTTATGTATGTAAAGCATAGCACACTGGTGAGATCATGTTTATTTGAGCATTTTATTAGAAGATAACTTACAAAGACATGCATGTCCTTCATTCTTCAAGAGCAAAATTTTTTTATTTAATGGCAACAATTTTTCAAAGTAAATTGAAGTCTTAGAAAGAATTATTTTTTTGCCCACCTTGCCATATTTACTTATTACTTATCTGCATTTTTTGCATATAACTTCCATCATCTACTTCTCGTATTAATTAATGTATTAATGGCAAGAGACAACATTTTCTTGCTTCATATCATTAATAATCTTTTCAGATACTAAGCTCTGAATATAACGAAAATTACTTATGATTTATAAATATACTTTTATTAATCTGCTTATAGTGTTTACTGTATTTTTAAAATTATATCCATAGGCTCTGAAATATGACTTACAGGAGGAGGACGTTATAGAAAATGCAAAAACACGGTCAGCTGAAGCTGCCCATGCTTTGAAGGTTTTATCAGAATATGCCAGAGCTGGAGGAGGTCCAAGAGGAATACATAGACATACGGTTGTTAATAAAAAATTATTAGTTCGTGATCGCCTGAAATTGCTATTTGATCCAGATTCTCCCTTTCTGGAAATTGGTCTTTTTGCTGGGATGTCTATGGATTACGGCCATATACCAGCTGCTGGCAGTGTTGCAGGTATATTTATATTCTATCTGTCAAATTTTCAGATAAAATAATGCCATATTTTTTTTTGCATTATGGCAACTATTTATTATAGGTATCTATAAAATATCCCTAAATGTAAAATGTTAAATAGCTTACGTTCACAATATGTCAGAAAAAATACTTGAAAAGAGCATGTCACTAGATGAGTTTCTAAAATAGAAAATGTCTATTAGCATTACATATACACTCATTTCCATAAATTAAGGATAATGCAAAATCAGGCAAAGGAAGAGTTAGAAGCAAAACAAATTTGACTTATTTGTAAAGCTTATTTATTAAACAAAAGGTAAAGAGCAAAAAGATGCTATATGTTTGATATTATTAAAAAAATTAGCGATTTTTTTCTCCCTGGAGCAAATTAAAAAAAAAAAAAAATCTATTTACAAAAATTACAAATATTACGTGGTTGGTATGATTGTTAATACATTGTATGTCTCCCAGACGATGCAATACAGTCCGTACAATCCATAGGCATGCTGAGTATCAAATTAGCGATCTGATCTTGGAGAAGATATTACACCACTCAAAAAGCAAAGAAGTTTTCCGGTAGACATGTAGGAGGAGGTTGACGGGCTGCAACTCGTCAGCCAAGCATGTCCCACACGTGCTCTACTGGATTCAAGTCCGGTGAGAATGCTGGCCAGTCCATACGGGTGATATCCTCCGATTGAAGGCATTTGCTTACGATGTTTGCACGGTGAGGACGAGCGTTGTCATCCATAAACACAAATTGTGTGCCCATGGCACCCTGAAACAAACATACATGTTGTTCCAGAATGACATCCCGATAGATTTGGCTTGTCATGGTTCCAATTTGAACATGCAGGTCAGTTCTGGAACCCAGAATAATTCCACCCCAAACGTACACTCCTGCACCACCGTAACAATGTCGTCCAATGATGTTTTCTTGGTGGTAACGGGTACCTGGAGCTCTCCATATGAAAGTCAGGTCTGAGGCTGTGCTCTGCCTGTTTCTTTTGGCAGTAACTGCCAAATACCGGTTCTCATTTGGCATTGTAACTCTGGGGCGACCTGCACTGTAACGTCTACTCACATTACCATCATCTTGGAATTGTTGCCAAAGCCTGGAGATGACACTCTGGGAAATTCCAAGTTTGTCTGATACTTCCAGTTGGGTACGCCCACATTCCAGATGGCCGATAATTCTACCACATAAAAAATCATCCAAATGCGTCCTTTGTGTCATAACTATTCGGTTATTGCACTAAAATGCTTATAAAGTGCCTGCGAACAATTTTCCTTCTTTGCCTGTATTCCTTATGTATCACTCTCTTACACTGTCGTCATTGTGACGTCATCTGGTTACTTTCTGAAATTTGCATATGATTCTTGAAGATGTGTGTAGTGATTTTACAGGTGATATATTTATTTTAGAGTTCGATTTCTGCATGACACCGAATTATCCTTAATTTTTGGACATGAGTGTAGGTAGGTATATGTATTAATTTTAGTTGTCATATATCTGTGTAGTTAAGTGTCTGCATCTATAGAAATAAGAAATGCGTCTTACTGGGGGGATCTTTTGTGCATTATTTATGATGTGCATACTTTCAGAATTTTTAGGGTTTCAGCTAACCATCAAAATTTTAAGGAGTATATAGCTGCAACCTTTAAAAAATGATGAAGTCACTATGAAGACTGTAAAGAAACTATCACATTTGTTAGGAGCGAGTGATTTATTTATTCCCAGTGAATGGGATAGAGTTCTTTGCACTCTTCTTATAATGAGAGATCTGGATGGCCTTATTTCTCAAAGCGTTTCTCATAGCATGAAGTTATTTTTCATTAAGGTAAACATCAAATACTATTCTGATAATCAAAGAATGCTTGTAATCGATGTTTATTTTTGAATGTAAACAAATATTTTTTTTTCTTTCTATTTAAGTTCAGTATTATTAAATTAGGAGTAGGATTTTCATTATTTGCATATTAGTGCAACTACTTTGACAGAGTTTGGTGAATTTTACAGAAGAAAAATAATCCCGATTTTTGTAATTAAAAAAAAATTATTTATTATGTACATACATATTTTATGGGCTAATCTTTGGAATATGGTAACAGGTAGTTTGGCGACATTTTGGTAAGGCGATAAAGGTTACTAGCTAGGACTTTAGCAATAAATCTGAGAAGTACACAGTTCGAATCACAGATTATTTTATCTCAGAGAAATGAGATATCATGAGACATGTAATGTAACATTTTCCAGAAAATTCCAATCGGGATTGGTTAGAGTAGACTTTAAGGTACTCCTTGTATTATGGCGAAGTTATTGTTTGATTTATCACCAAGTTGTTGTTTCATTTATGGTAGCCTGAGTAGTTGAATGTTATGGAAACCCTATTGTGACGTGATCGGGTGCATGATTCTGGGAAATTTTTATCACGGGATGTTTTGTAAGCGTTTTTGTGGTGTGTGTTGTTTTCATTCTTTAGATGGTAGAATGGCCGAATGTAGTAAGATTAATTTGAAGTTTCTGTACGATGTGGAGCGAAAGGGGAAAAGAGCGTTAATTGACTGGTTTGTAAATGAAGGTTTATTTAGTAGCCATTATAAGTGTCCTGTATGTAGGAAGGATATGCGTCTAGTCGAACGTAAAAACCGTTTAGATGAATTTGAATGAGTTTGTAGGAAGAAAGGTTCAGATGGTCACTATGTAAAGCGTTCGATCAGAAAGAGTACCTGGTTTGAAAAAAGTCATTTGAGTATGATTGATATTTTGATTTTTACGTGGCTCTGGGTGTACGAAGCGAACTCGAAAATCATGGTAAGTGAATATTTGCTTTTGGTAGTGCTTAAATGTATAACATGTTTTTTCCTTTTTTTATGTTATTTTATTGTTTGATTTAAAATGTATTTTATTGAGATTATGTATTTTTTGTTTGCCTATATTATAGAATTTGGTGCTCCTTTGACTTTTTAAGTGAAAATATATTGATGTGTACATGGACAAAGTAAAGGGAGTGTGCAATACAAGTTAATTTTTTGCAAAATTAATTCTGGGATTTTTTTTAAAGAGAAAATAGGTCGACGTGTACATGGATAAAGTTAAAAGAGTGCGCAATGTCATTTTTGTGCAATTCGGGGATTGTTTTTTAAGTGAAAATAAGTCGATGTGTACATGGATACCGAGTTTGTGCAATTGTTTGTCTTGTTATTTTGGCTTTGTGTAGCGGCGATGCACCAAAAATCGCCGCTTGGCAAGCCAAACTAACAAGTCAAAGAATTGTACAAAATCAGTGTCCATGTACTGCCAGAAATCGCCAAGTTTCGCCAAGGGGTACCCTAAACTATACTTTTACCTCAGGATTTTAGCTAATAAGCACTCAGAAACAATTTCGCTGCTAAAGTGCAGAATCGCCCACTTATTTCTTTGGCGCTTTTTACAAGAGTAAGAAGAATTGGACTTTTGTCAATTTTCTTTGACTTTTTAAGGGAAAATAGGTCGATGTGTACATGGATAAAGTCAAGAGTGTGCGCAATGCCATTTTTGTGCAATTCTGGGATGTTTTTTAAGTGAAAATAGGTCAACGTGTACATTGATACCGTGTATATGCAATTCTTAAAAACGTGGCAAGCAGTGGGCAATTCCACACTTTCTCCCAATTTCGCACCTAATTCTTCGTCATGATTAAGCACTTTTGTTCCATAAAACTTCTAGCATAAGCATAATTCCGCTAGCAGATTGTTAGAAAAAAATGTTGAGTAAAAAAAAAAAAAAAAAAAAAAAAACATGCCTTTACTTCGTGAAAACAAAATGGTGTCCCCCCCAAAAAAACTAGCAGAGTGCTGTAGCAGGGTTGGTCGCCAAAGTTTCGCAAAAAAATCGCCAAGTTACCATAATCCGAAGATTCACCATTTTATGTTTTAATTAAATTTTTAACTTGAAAAAAATTAATAAACATACTTACAAACAAATATTTTTTCTCCCCCTTTTATTGAAATTCTGTGGCAATTGCTTTAAGAATAAATTCAAAGCAGTTATTCCTTTTAGCAAATCTGTAGCAAAATACTGTATTCCTGCAGAAATTATTGAAAACATAACAAAAAAGAGTGCATACGAAAATGGCAATTTGCTTTTAAAAACTTAAGAATTGTCATGTACATGGTTGCCTGAAGAATTTTTATGCGCAGTAGTCAAAGTTTGACATTGTCTTATGCTTTCAGGACTTCTAAGGTGATTGCTACAATATGCAAATACTGTTTTTTCTTATGTATACAAATAAATTTTTTTATAAAAATATATTGAGTTGGCAACTAAGTAATTGCGGATTTTTTTTTAGAAAATCAAAGACAATTTTTTCATGGAACTAAATAACTTTATTCTGTAATGTATTGCCCATTTTGATCAATGACCTTTTGCCATCTTTCAGGCAGCATCATAATCCCACGTTCATAAAACTTCTGGTTTTTATTAGCAAAAAACTGAATCAGGTACAATATGACATCATCATCATTATTGAAATTTTTACCATTCAAGGAGTTTTGTAAAGATCGAAACAAAAAGTAATCAGATGGTGCAAGGTCAGGACTATATGGTGGATGTGGCAAAAATCCCAACCAAGTTCCAATAATTTTTGCCGAGTGACCAAAGATGTGTGTGGCCTTGCATCGTCATGATGGAATACAACACCTTTCCGATTTGTCAATTCGGGCCGCTTTTCTTCAACTGCATTGTTTAATTTCATTAGTTGTTCAATGTAGACATCAGAATTGATTGTGCGGTTGGGTGGTAAGAGTTCAAAGTATACAATTCCTTTGTAATCCCACCAAACTGATAACAAAACCTTCTTTTGATGAATATCAGCTTTTGATGTTGTTTGAGTTGGTTCACCTGGCCTGCTCCATGATATTTTCCGCTTTATATTGTTGTAAACAACCCATTTTTCATTACCAGTTATCAGTCGTTTTAAAAATGGATCATTTTCATTATGTTTCTTTAGCAAATCGTAGCTGTTAATGTGTTGCATTAAATGCATTTCTTTCAGTTCGTGAGGAACCCATGTATTGAGTTTTTGAACATAGCCAAGTTGTTTTAAGTGATTTTCAATGCATGTATGTGACACATGAAGCTTCTCTGCAATCTCACGTGTTGTACTGCGACGATCCGAATCGATTATTGCTTTGATTAGGTTGTCATCAACTTCAACTGGACGACCAGAGCGTTTTTCATCTTTGAGTGAAAAATCACCAGAATGAAGTTTGGCAAACCAATTTTGACACTGTCGTTCTTTTAAGGCTTCACACCATAAACAGCACATAACTTTTTATGAGCTTGGGATGCGTTTTTCCCTTTGCGGAAATAAAAAAGCAAAATATAACGAAAATGTTCCTTTTGATTTTCTATTTTTCAACGAACGCCAAACGAAAACTACGCAACTGATCAAAAAACTTTTTTTACTGATTGACAGCTGAATTGCCAACTATCAAATAACAAAATGTGTTTTATATTTGTACTACATCTGCAACCCTAAAAATTCAACTGAAGCCATCTATGAGTGAAATCCGCAATTACTTAGTTGCCAACCCAATAGTATGTTTATAACATATTTTGACTGAAGAAATAAATTTATTATATCATCGAAGTTCATTAACTTAATTTACACACATGTCAGCAACTCCTTTTTAAAGTAAATGTAAATTATGAGTTTGAAAGTTTATGCTTTCAGATAAATTATTATTTTCGTGTATGTATTTCATATTATCTGAATTTATATCATTGACATGTGTAAAGAATATATATATCTGCAGCTTTTTAGATGCCAAATTCCAACTTAAATTAATCTTATAACTGATTTGTTTACATTCTATACAACAAGCAAACTTGTTTACTTCAGTAGTGCGAAAGAAAAATTATCAATAGCTTTGTACAGGTTTTTCTGATATTAGGAATTAAAAACATAGTAGTAAAGGAATAAAAACAGAAAATTTTAATAATTCCAAAATTTCAACTCTTAATACTTTCTTTAAGCTGCTATGTTATTGATTTAAATGCATATGCACATAATGCAATAATGGAATTAGTGCATTAAATTATTAGTTCAGTAGTGCATTTAGCATTTAATTTAGGAAATATTTTATCTCTAGGATTCCCGTAAAAGAACAAATTTTTTATTTATCTAACTATTTTCTCCTCTCATTTAAGAGTGTAAAAATTATTTTAAAAGTTGTTTTACTGATATATAATTTTTTTTCATATAAAATATTTCAGTGTATTTTTACAAAAAACTTGATTTTGAACTGCCTTCTAAAAAAAATTCCTCTTATTTTCTGATTGTCTGCATCCTACAAAATGTTGCCAACTCATTACCAACTTTGCGAAATGATGAAAAATGTTTTGTTTATCTTTATAGTTCATAAGTAAAATCCTGTTCATGAATAATAATAAAAAGAAGCATTTTATTAGAAACAGATTTTACAAGAATAAAACAAAAATCTGCATTGCCAAAAGTTATATTTTTACAATCAGTAGATACTGTTCAATTGAAATGGCAGTTAAATGTAAATAATGCAAATCCAGTGTATTCAAACTCTGGTGTATGTGCAGAGAAGAATTGGATACTGTTGCATTCATACTCGAAAATATGCCCAAGACTCTGCAGTTTGACCAAATGTTGAAATCAGAGACACAGTTAATCAATAAGTAGCATACATGAAAGTATTAACATTTTCCAGGGGCCTGGGACATATATGTCCCACACTTTCACTACTTTAAATATGTCTCAAGGAATTTCAGCAAACTACGGAGATTTAAAATTTATTCCTTAATGTGGATTAGGAAGTGCAATACCCTGTAGACTTGTTTTTCTGTTCCTTTCATTTAAAATAAGTGACTAAATGGTCATAATATGTTCAAAATTGGCCCCTATATCCCACAAGAAAAGGTTAATGTTCATATATAAAGAAATTAAGTAATAAATAATTAATTAAATGTATTCATTTAGCATTCTTATTATACTTAAATCAAATACAATTTAATACTAAGTTTGATTTTCTGTAGTGTGATCTCAAATTTTTAAGGAATCTATTATTAACTATCCTATTACAATACTTTTTAATTTTCATTTCCTAGAGGATAATCAAACTTAATATAATTAAATGTATTAAAAATATAATAGTTTTACATTCAGTAAATTATAGTTAAATAATTCTTAAGTTATAGTATACTTTGTTATTTACATACAAACAGTTCAAATCTAGTGTGAAAATCAGAAACAGCAGTTAAAAACTATTTTACATTTTCAGTTTTTTTAGTTTTTGTAAATATTCTTTAATTTCAAGTTAAATAGTATTTTAAAGTTTTAATTAAATAGTAAAATAGTTGTCCTTGTGCGCAATTCGTAATCAATTTTATACTAAAAATGCTGTGAAGATGGTTTCAAAAATTTACACTGATATGTAATTAGATGAAATGTTACTCAAATCCATCTTTGTTAGGCAATAAGGTTAAAGAATCGGGGATATTTTCAATAAAGTTGAAAATGTTTCGAATTTCTTTTAATTATAACTTTGTATTGCATAGCTTGCAGTATAAACATCTTATATAATAAGTGTGCAGTATGTATTTATTTTATTAATACCCAATTTCTACTTTTTCATGTTTTGCTTTTAATTTTAGGTATTGGCAAAATTCATGGTCATTTTTGTATTGTTGGGGCAAATGATGCCACTGTTAAAGGAGGTGCATTCTTTCCCATTTCAATCGTAAAACAAATTAGAGTTCAGCAACTGTCCTACCTCAATAGATTGCCATGCATATATTTGGTAGATAGTGCAGGAGCTTATTTACCACTGCAGGTAAAATAGTTGTTTAGAAGTTCCATAGGTTCTGTATTTTCTATGGAGTAAATTATATGTCATGCAATTTAATATCTATAGGGTGTATCAGTACAGTGGTTACAAATTTTCAGAAGAGATAGAGTACACCTAGACAATGGGAAATCACATAGCAATGCATGGTCAGAAGCACTTTCCTGGCACGATAGTGATGACACAAAACACAAAAAAGGAAGGACATAAACAATGAGACAAAACATGTTTTATTATGTTTAGTACAGCAAAAACCTACAAATAAGAATAAAAAACAAACAATGATCGTCATTAAAGAAGGAATAGGATCCCGGACTGTGATGCAGGCCTCACTTCTCCGTTGAATGGAAAGATGTATGACGCACTGTTCCTGCATCATGGTGTGGGTCATAATTTCGAACACCTTTGATGATGATTGTTGTCTCTTTATGTTGGTTTTTCTTTGTTTTTGTTGTACTCCGAATAATAAACATGTTTCCTCACGCCGTTCGTGTCCTTTCTGTCACTACCGCATCAGGAAAGCATTTCTGACTGCACAATGTGGTGTGATTTCCCATCGTCTAGGTGTACTCTCCTGAAAGTTTGTTACTGCTGTACTGATACACCCTGTATATATGAAATGCAGAATCTCATACATTATTTGTGTTCTGCAGCCGGGACAACAGGAATGAGACAAATTTTGGAAAATAAAGTGATACGTTTATTTTAGCATCCATCTCACAAGCGTTCCTAATGTACCTCGAGGAGAAGCTCTATTTATAGATATGTGTGCGTCATGGTGCTCATCCATTCAGCGATATTAATTGAAATCACGAGGTGACGCTATCTTCTCATCAGGAGTGTTCTTAAGGACTTTATGTAATATGACAGATTTATGAGTTTGGCAATTTGGCGGGTGCCAACAGGTTAATATAATTTAAAATAAAGAAAGGATTTCGCCAAAATTTAGGAGCAAGGATGCAATTTAGGTAGAGAATCGCCAACACATTATTAAGCAATAGGATTAGAATTTAATTTAATCAACTGATTTAAAAATATTATTACATTTATATGCTGTAATACAGTGAAATGTATTTTGTGTAGAAATAATTGTTCTAAAAATGTGACAGAGAGAGCACATTATTTAATAGTTTTAATTGGTATTTATTTTTTTAAAAAATTGAAAAATAAAAACATTAATGCCAATTTCTGTAAACATCTTTAGAGAATTGTATTTTTCTAAGGGTCTATATTACTTTAGAGAATACTTGTGAGGCACTTGAAGATGTATACAGAGTTGCCAACTCTCCCGATTTAGGCGGGAGACTCCCAATTTCTGACCATTCTCCCGTCAACTGATTTTATCTTATTCTTAAAATTTCTCATGATTTTTACGTAGCTTGGCTTAATACTTCGTTATTTGCACCAAAAAAAAAAAAAAAAAAAAAAAAAAAAAAAAAAAAAAAAAAAAGTGATTTTGGGTGTCTGAAAGCACTTATTTTTTCTCTATATTTTATAAAGAAAACCAAAGTCGTTTCATCAGTGAGAAACTGTGGCACCCTTCTGCTTTGTGAGTGAGAGCACATATGTCTGATAAAGTCATGTTCTAGTTCTCCAGTGAACATCGAGCGCCACTGCATATCATCTGGCATACATTAGCCACGAAGCATAAAGCAAGATCGAGGTTGTCATTTCATTCATCTTACCACTGAGAGGTGTGAGTGCACGTGCTTTCGAGAAATAGTTTAAGAAATTATGATCTTTCGTTTTAGTTATGTCTGTGAAAAGGCAAAATAGTCATGTACTTTTCAAAAATCGTGCACAGATGACTTTCCTTCTATTATTTCCTCAAGAGAATGTAATACATTTGCAATGTGTACCCTATGTCATTACGATTTTTTGATTTCACACGGTGGAACTGCCGATGTTCTCAAACACATGCTTACACAAAAATATAAGGGCGACATGAATTCTATTGAAAAAAAACAAAAAATCAGATTTTTCTATGGAAACAAAGGACCAAAGAGTTATTAATGTAGAATGCTTGTTCTCTGCCTTTTTACTAGAGGACAACTTGCCATTGAATGCATCGTATCATCTTTTATTTAGAAAAATGTTTCCCGATAGCGAATTCTCTCAGAAATACTCAAGTGCAATGGCCAAAAAAGCTGCATTTGTTAAAGATATAGATATCAAAAACAAATCTTTAGTTACTGATTGCATTAAAACAGTTTCATTCCGCTTCTCTATAAATGAAGGCAATAACACCAGTTCAAAACTATCCAATTGTTTTTCCATTTTTCAGTCCAGTGTCTTCAGAAGTCAAGGATAGTTTATTTTCTTGAAGTGTAGTTTACTTCCACTTTAGAAGGACATTTGGAAGGCTTTAATATAACTAATTATTAAAACTTTAAAAAAAATGAAATTCCTCTGGATAATTCCTTAGCGGTGCCAATAATGTACCAGTAACAGTAGACTTGAAAGCTGGTTGTTGGAGGCAGTTTAAAAAAGGAAAATTCATTGTTCTCATAAAAATTATGAGGTGCACCTGTCAGCTCTTAAATTTAGCAGCTGAAAAGGGAGCAGCTTCTATACCAATAAGTATGGATGAATACATTGTTGACATTTATTATTATTTTGAATGGAGTACTAAAAGGAAGGAAGAATTGAAACAATTCCAACACCTGCATAATACTGAAATACGAAAAATTTTGAAACATATGTATACATTAATTTTTAAACATACATATTTCTTTTAGAGGTTTATCTATCTTTTATGTATTATGGAACTTGCTTTAATTACCATTGCTCTAGCATATTACTGTTAACTCATAAACTACTGAACAATTATTTTCCAATATTAGTGGCAAATAATGAAAAAACTGCTAATAACTGAAGTTGTAAAGGTAATTTTAAATAAAGTAAATCAAAGTTACTGTATTACCTAGGACTTGATTTTCATTTTGTTAATAATTTTAATACTTTTTTCATTTTAAATAAAGTTGTATCTAATATTATCAGAACTCTTAAGGCCCTTACTTTTAGTTAGTTATCTGGGTACTTAAACATTATCTTATTGACTCTGAAAGTTGACTTCTGTCAAGCTAAAGGTTTTCATCGATTTCTGCTATTTTGTTAGGCCTCCAATTTTACCACAAACTAAGAACAGAGTGCAGACTTCCAACAGGTGATTGTTCCAATCTACTACTGTTTCATTGGCCATATTCAACTGATCATACCATGTTCACGAACACACATGTTTTTTGATGGTAAGATCACATAAAGTTGAAATTAATCCACTGCTTGCTGTGTTCAGGTTAGAAGGCAGGTTCAAATTTTAATCTTTTTTTTCAAAATGCAAGGGAAAAACAACAATAACAATTAATTTATATCCTTGTTCGTGAAAACAAAATGTAGTTTATCAAGAATCCTTTGATTTTAGGCTAAATTAAGAACTCAGTCCAGCTTCCTGCTACAGTAATTTTTATCTTGAGAATTATTGAGTAGTATCACTTGTTAGTTATCCTGTTTCATGAGATGCATATCACAATTATGATCTCGATAGACAATGTTTTCTGGAAATACATTCTTCTAGAGCTAGTTTGAATGGCAGGCTTTTCTATTAAATGTTTTTAACAACAGCAAAAAATTATATTCAAGGCTTTGTTTTGTGTAATTCAACCAGTCAGAAGAAAGGAGAATCATAGGACAATTAAGTATATAAATTCTTGGACGCAAAGATTCCTTGAAGTGTGACATTCATTGAAGTTTTGAGAGAATATGTTTTGTAGTTTGATAGCATTAATTGGTCTACATTTTATTAATTAAGTTTAGCATTACATGTTTAAATTATTAAAATTATTGGTAATTAATTTGAAAAATAGGAGCAGCTGAATTATATTTTATAATTTTCTTTTAATTTAAAAGTTTTCATACTAATATGTCTGTCTTTGCTATATTTATAAAGAAAACATGCATTTTAATGCCTTGAACATTGCAACATTATTTGTTAAACATAGTTCAAGGTTCGTACAGTTCTTGAATATGCTTAAAAGTTCTTAGGTTTTTTGGAAATGATTTTTAGTCTTTAAAAGTCCTTAATTTCAGCCAAATTCAGCAAAAGGTCCTTAATTTTATGCATCTGCCAGTTTTTTTATGACTGTCATTCTGTATATGAATTAAAATTTTAGAGAAGTATTTTTGACGATGCATTGACAAATATGTAATTGATGGATTAACTTTTGAATATAAATGTTGGATACTCGAGTTTTAGACACACAAAACCTTGCTTCAGTTGAAACATAAAACATTTCGAAGTGATTCTTTTTTTTTTTTTTTTTTTTTTCTTCGAATGAAATGTTCATAAAATATTACATCGAAAACAACTTTTGATGTAATATTTTATGAAATTTTTTTTGGTCCCAACAGTCAAGCTTCTGTTCCTTTTTGGGATATGAGTTCTTATATTTATATGGCATTAAATTTAGTGACTTATCAACATTTTGGCAATTTCAAAATCAGTTTGTTACAAATTTTATTCAGAGATTTGTAAAATTTGACATTTTTCCATATATGATTAATATCATAAAATAAGTAATAAATTCAATTTATGTTTTAGAAATAGCATAAATAAAACATTTTAATGTTTTCCTATATTTTAAAGTGACATTACTTTCCATTTTGGTGACTTAGAAATATTTTGATTCTGAAAAATAAACAAGATAATTCTATAAAGCACAGTTTCCAAAGCACTTTTTAGAAAAAACAAAAATGCTTCTGTTATTGTTTTAAAATTAATTTCATTTTTTAAAATATTTTTTCATGTTTAATTTTTTTTCCCATGTAATTGTTTCAGAATATTTAAATCTGTATCAGTTTTCTCTAGAAAATTCACTTTATCTGCACTTTTCTAAATTTTTTTTTTTTTTTTTCAAAAATCTTCTAACTTCTCTTTCAGAGTTGGTAAGGATAATTTTTTTTTCTTGAGAAGGTCTAAAAGCAAGATTTATAGATTAATATTTTGAACACAAAATTATAGACCTAAAATTTCCAGAAAAATATGGTGAAATGAAAAATGTCTTCATAGTATATACATATAAGGGATGTGTGTGTTTCATAGGAACTTTAAACTGAATTATTTATCTTTTGGAGAATTTTTAGAAGAACAATGAAAAGGAAATTATTTGCATTTTTTTCCTTTTGATCCCAAAAGTCTTTTTCTTAATATGTTTATCTTCTCTTTATTTTCTTATCTTTTCACTAAAACACAAGCAAGATGACAATCAAAGAAAGCAGAGAGATTTAAAACCAACAATTCATTACAAGATTCATTATATATGTCTCAGTGCACTATACATACCTCAGTGCCTGCCCTAGATTTTATTGCTCAGTGCTTCACTAAATTCTAAAAATTATGCCACACTGACTCCGGTGCCGGTCTTGACCTTAAATCATTTCATATTTATTTTCAATATTTATATTATTAAAGAAATAAAATTATCAGTTTCCTCTATATATTAAGTGCAAGCAGATCTGTAGAATAACAAAAATTTTTAATTAAATCTGAAAATTCTAAAATGAAAAGGAAATTCATTGAAAAAGAAATTAGTTTTATGAAGAGAGAGAAAAAAGTTATTCTTCAGTGGTACATTGTAGAAACATTAACAAATTAGAAGTTGAAGGAGAAACTGGTGGGAAAATTGATTTATTTATTGAAACAATTAAACTTAGGAAAGATGCTAAAGAGAAGGAAATTGATGTAAGTTAGCTAAAATGTCTGGAGAATTTTCAAGTTAAAAAGAGGCATAATGGATAATTTTCAGAAATTTAGGTTTTAATGGATATTTTTTAGAAGTAGAAAAAAGGTTGTAATTGTAACCATGTAAATCTATTATGACTAAGAGTATCTAACTCTTAATTATTGTACCTAACTGCTCACCCTCAGATTTTATCTCTACATGTTATGTCCTTTTTTAAATTCTTATTGTGTATGCAAGATACAACACAAAAATATAAAAATAGCATAAAATTATATTTCTGACAGCTAATGAGACATAAAATAATGCAAAACAGCCTATCATCTCTGATACTTCAGTGGTTTATCAGAACTTTATATTAAATGCTGTACATTAACTGGGTTACAACTTCTGCAAATCTACGTGAAGCTATGACACTAACTGGGTCAGATTATATGAAACTAACTTTCAGCATTTACCAATGTCAGGCATTCATGTCTGTTCTGATGAGTGGCTGTCTGTTTCTAGGCCAGTAAATGCAGTAAATGCAATAGCCAAGCTTCTGTTATGAGTTATGCTGATTATTATTTTACTCGCAATTTAGCTTACGTCTTTTGACATAAAATTTGCATTTAACCTCTGAACTGAGTGAGTACGTGACAAAATAAGCATAAAAAAGGAATTAATATAAAGTTAACTGTTAGTAAAGTTTAAATAAAAAGCCACTAATCATCTTTACAGTATGGGGCATTATTATAAGTGTAAAATATAAATATTTCAAGAAATGCTATAATTTAATTAATGCTAACTAATAAATTGTGAATTTAATTTTATTCTTGAATTTGTTTTATAATTAAGTTAAATATTAGATTGTGTTTAATAATAATGTATCCTAATTGTAGATTTATTTCATTCTTAATTACAAAAGTGAAGTTACAAAAATGGTATTACTAAAGTTCAGATGTAGATAATTGCTTTAGTTTATTATTTCCTAGTTATAGCTTATGTAACTACATCCTATTTCATATAATAACATAATTCTTAATCTTTTAACAGGCTGATATATTTCCAGATAAAGAACATGGAGGAAGAACCTTTTACAATGAAGCTGTTCTTTCATCCTTAGGCATTCCACAAGTAGATCAGTTTTCTTGTTTTATATCATAGACCTCTGTCACAAATTTCTTTTGAAATTAGAGCTTAGTTTAAAGCATTATACAGATAAATAAAAGCTGTATTATTGTAGTGCATTGCACATACAGAATTATCTTAAACCATATTAAAGATTTAGCATATTAGAAAAAAAATTAAAAGGTAAACAGTTTTGTTTAATTTCTTTTTATTTTCTATTAATATATTCATATTTTGCTCACACAGATTTAAATAAGAAGTGAAATTTAATGTTTATAATCTGAAATTTACTGAAAGGAATTTTTTCATGTGTGTGAATAAAAGAATGTTATCACATCTGAATAATATGCAGGTTGTGCAAAATTAGTAATAAATAATTTGTCAAAATATGAAAATGTATGATATGTCTTTTGCTAAAGCAAAAAACAGGACATTATTGCATTTAAAATTATTTTCTATAGAATAGAAAAATTTTATCACATACGACTCTCAGACTCAGAAAAGTCAAACCCTCAAAAGACTCTGGAAGACCAGAAAGTTTCAAAAGGCATCTCAAATTCTATTGTAAAAGTAATAGTAAGAGGGTTAAATAAAAATACATTGCCACTGTATTTTTAGTATAATATATATATTCTGTTCTTTACAAAATTATGTAAAGATAAAAAAAAAATTAAATGTAATGTTATGTAAAAGTTTAAAATGCTGATCTGAAAAAAATTAACCATTAGTACAAGAGATTCTGCTAAAGCTTCAGACACTAAGCAAGGAATTGCAAAAAACACAGAAAATATATAACTTCCAAATATGTGTAGTATTTACTGGAACATCTTGCTTGTTTGTTACAAAAAAAAAAGTAGAATTGCTCCTGAGCACTTATCATTTTTTTTTTTTTTTTTTTTTTTTTTTTTGTAATATCTGCACCAGTTTTATTCCATTCTTGTTTTGCTACTTATTTCTATTCAATTTTTGATGGAATGTTATATTTCGCTATAGGGTATTTATATTTCCAGTTCTTGCAAAACATATTTCACTGGATTTAAACTGAAGATCTAGGGAAGTGTTTTTATCATTTTTGTGAAACTGTACGGTAACAAGGAACACATGTTTAAAGAAACTTGGATGCTTTGTGATTATCCATGCTCCTGGTTTCAAAGTTTTGTGAAAATTTTATGTTTGGGGATATTTTCCAGTTTGCACTCATTAGTAATCAACCCATTTATTCATGTATCACTATGTGTTTGAATATACATAGATTTATGTGCTTTGTATTTAACTGTCATGTCACTGAATAATATCCACCAGCTCAGAAATGCAAATATCTCTCATTCCCTGTCCGCATAAATTTTTTTTTTTTTTTTTAAATATAAACTACCTCTTCTTATGATTATTTATGAACCTATCAGCTGTACTTATTAGCCGCAGAGGTATCTAAAAGAATTTTTTCACCAATTTATGACCTACTTTTCCTGGAATATGGCTAATCAGAAAGAGCATGTTTAGGGTCATTGTAATGATGTAATTTATACAGTTTCTGATACAAATATTTAAGAATATATTTCCGTGCTATTATTTAAATATTCAAATATGTTAAATGATCGATTATAGTTTAAACAAAGACCAATTTATTTCGTCCTGTTGCAAAAATGCAATTTCATATTATGACATCTTTACTGCCATGCTTTATTCTCAGTATATCATTATATCGATTTAGCTCTTCACTCTTTCTTTAAGAAACAGTAATTGATGATCTGAACTGAAAATATTAAAATTTTTTGTTATGCCAAATAGGATTGAATATTAGTGTTGTGGTTGTTGGTTGCACATGCCTCCAGCTGATGTCATGCTGTTTCATAATAGCTGCTGGCGGGACGAGCTGGTGATGCACATTGCCTTTACTTTCGAGTGTTGAAAGTTTTGAGTATGGTGTAGAAGCTTCATCAATTTAATAAATGTTTCTATAAATAAAGTAATTGTTAAGTGATGTGGAGTTAGGTATCATAAGAATTAATACAAATCACATCCTTCATGCTTACAATAGACACCCAATTCCTGTGCTACTTTGAAACTTTGTACTGATACTTCAGACATTGCAGTTGTTAGCTCATTAATGCAATTACATTATTCATTTTGGGAACCCACCGCATTTCTATCCATTAAAGCCAAAGGAAATGGTCAGAACTACTGGCTATATTTAAGATAACTTTTGGGTCGTTTATTCTCCTATCAATAAAATTCTGAGTTTCATACTCAAGGATCCTATTCCAGGTATGAATTCTTTCTTTACAGTATTTACAGTATTCCTTGCCAGTGTGATTTAACTTACATTGGTAAAACTAAGAGAGCCTTAAAATTTCACATAAAGGAGGCATATGTTAAAAAAAAGGAAACACAGAAGTTCTCTGTTGCTCAGCATTGTTGGCCCGAAAATCACTTTAAATTTTTCTGAAGCCGAAATCATTCAAATAAAAATCTTCCATCGGTGCATTAGGTTTTTTAGAGGCGTTTCATATTCAACAAAATCTTTCTGTTCTAGTAATCGAGTCTAATTCTAATCCATCTTTTCCTTCAGCCTTTAAGGAAATTATGTTTTAGTTCTCGTTTTATCAACAGATGGCGCCAGTAGCTTAACTCCTGTCCAGCCATAACTCCTGTCTTATCTAATCACTATATCTTATCTTGTTCATTTGCGCATTGGCAGCAGAGGATGATGGTTCGGTAAAACCATCAGAATTAGTCCTGTGAAAATTTGCAAATATAATGCTGATTTTTGTTGTTTGACTTCTAAATTAATGCTGGCTACATATTTGTGAATCAAGAAATTTCAGAATATTCTGAAAGGCCTTTACCATATACACAGATAAAAAGCCGTTAATATATGTATTTAAGGAAAAGCCCAAAAAGTGTTCTCCATGACAACTTCATCATCAGGATTTTATTGGCCAGTTTTCACTTACATATGATACATCAAAGGTTGTGACAACATCATTGCTGACGGCTTATTTAGGGTAGAAATAGATGTGGTATTTGATAATCAACATATTGATAATAAAAAGTTATCTGAAGCACAACTTCAGGACTCTGAAATTCTAAAGATTTCATAGGCAGCTTAAAAGTGCAATAATGGCTTATAACAATCAAAAATGGACTGAAATTCTGCCTGTAGCTTTGTTGGGCATCAGATCTGCCATTAAGAAAGATATTAACACTTGTGCTGAACTTTTTTACGCTACCACACTTAGATTACCCTCAGATATGCTGAATGTTACTAATTCCATACCTCCTTCTGAATCATGGTTCATAGTTTCGATCAGTCATGCATTCACTTAGACCACTTCCAACCTCTAAGCATGTTCAACCAACAAATTATGTACACCCAGCACTCCTAACCTTTTCTCATATATTGCTACAGATCAATTCTGGTAAACCGTTTCTAACTCCACCTTACACTGGACTTCATGCCCTTGTTAAACAAATGAATAAAAATTTTATTATTGAGGTAAATAACTAAAATATTAACGATTGCCTAAAACCAGCGTATACATCTGTAATTTCTGAAATTACACATAAAAAAGTCAGTGAAGACTCAAAAATTGCTCCAAAACAAATAATTACTCGCAATGAATGTTGTGTTCATTTTCCCAAAAAACTGAACACTAACATAATTGAATGCTTTTTCTCTTGTTGGTCTGCTGTAAAGGTTATAATATATGAATACTTAGATTAAGTCCTTTTGCATGTGTTTGGAAGTTGATTAAACTTCTTCTTTTATTAATTATGATATGCATTGTCATATTATATATTTCAATTAGGAATTTTAATGATATTAGTACTTGTATACCACTATTTATATATCCTGGTATTTTATTTTATATGCACATTTTAAAGCATAACTTTTATTGGCATGTATATATCTTAAATTGGAATCTTGCAGTCAACCCCTTTTGTGTCGTGACTGTATAACTGAGGAAATACTTTGTGGTTGTTGGCTGTGCTTGCCTCCAGCTGACGTCATGCTGTTTCGCAAAAGCTGCCGATGCGACCAACTGGCCATACACATTACCTTTACTTTTGAGTGCTGAAAGTTTTGCGTATGATGTAGAAGCTTCATCAATTTAATAAATGTTTGTGTAAATAAAATATTGTTAAGTGATGTGGAGTTAGGTATTAAAATAATTAACATGAATCACATTCTTGATGGTTACAGTATGGTAAAATTCAGCTTATCATTGATTTTCAAATAAAAACCTGAGTTTCTTATTTTCTGTATGAAAACTTTTCTTGCGAAAGGATCATGATAACTTGTTAATCTGATCAACCTTCCAGAAGGTTTTTTTACCATTTTAACTGTAGATTTCTTGAGATTGTTTTGAGTATGAAATGCTTATCCTGCAGAATAAGTTTCACTGGTCAACTACTTTTTTCTTGTTTAGAACACTTTTCATTTTTCGTATAAGTAAAAAAGTTATTTTCTAATTATCTGCAACACCACCAAAAGTCATGAATTTGTTGGTGACGTTGAGAGCATATAAGAACTCATCAACAGAATTTTTAGCAAGGGTGAGAGCCATTTTCGAAATGATGACACACAATCAAAAAAATTAAAAAAGGAAGATGCATTGGTAATAAAAAAACTTATTTCATATTATTTCAATTGAATTTTAATACTCGTGATATTTACATTTTCCATATAAATTGTACTTTCATTGTAATGGATATTTACATTATATTAAATAAGTCCAAAAAAACAATTAAGAAACACAATTAATTAAACCTTTATGGATAGCTGTCATAGTAAAAAAATCTATCAAATCAGTATGGAAACCAAGAATAACCTATCTATGTCATAATTAGAGGTTTCTACTCTTTTAGCTGACAGTTAAGAAAATTCCCTTAAGTGTATATAGATCTGCTGTAGACATCCAAACCAATTACTGTCAATGCAATCAAGGAAAAATGATAAAATATTTTTGTAACTTAAGATAATTTAAAAAAATAAACAGGACCAGATAGTTTAAATTTTAACTAAGCTCAGTGAAGTTTAAATTTCAATTAAGCATGGTGTAGATGATAGTTTTAGTTAAGAATAGAGCCACTATTTGCTAAAACATCGCAAGCTCTTTGAGTCAAAAGTCATTGTCTTTTCAGACAGTCTACTTAAAACCGTAGTTCAACTAGCCATCATCACCTTTTGGAAGATGGCTACGGTTTTTAGTTTAGCCAAAGAAGCCAAACTCTCAACCTTTGGCATCTCAGATTCTAACAGTTTTTTCATTGTGTGTGTTACCTTTATTTATTAAATACCATGTTCTTCACACTTAAACCATAAAATTCAATTCAACAGCAGTATCGCAAAATAATTTAAAAAGATCATATCTTTAGAATTTCCGTTACACAGTCTCGGGTGCTGGAGATAATTTTTTTTTTTTTTTTGTACAGTGTTGCCATTGCTCGCTTTGAAATCGTTGAGTTTCTTAATCAAAAGCTCATAAGTACTTTACAAAATATGAAATAGATAATAAGACAAATTCTAAAGCTGGACTTCCAGATGCTCATATTTGAGTGGAGACGTACATTAAAGATTTGATGGCTCTAGGTACCATAGTTTCATCACAATGTGAGAAACGTACATACATTTATGCAGATTCATCATTAATTAATTTCTTTAAATATCATACAGGGCAATAATACTTGGTGGCAACAGTTTGAAAAGTGATTCTGACTTTTCGACACAAAATGCCGAAATGAAATTAATAGCCGTTCTGGGCTAACACCCTTTGGGCTAAAAAAGAAAAGAAAATTGGCTAGGGAGTAAAGGGATCTGTATCTGATTGCTCTCAAAGTTGGTAGCATTTAAATCTGAGCGAAATTAAGATTTCTTTTTTGTCTAGTTTTAAATTTTACATTAACATGTTTCTCCTCCGTTTTAGCATAAAATTATTTATTAATGCTTTTTTTTTTAGTGAGTATCATATATAACTTTTTTACGTATTTATTAACTGTATTTTCACTCTGATGAAAAGTTTAGTATCTTTTTCAATTACAGGAATGTAATATAATAAGATGTTTGTTTATTTATATACTTATTACAGTTTTTGAGTCTGAATATTCAGCTACATTTTAAAAATAGATTGCAGTTGTTTGTGGAAGTTCAACTGCTGGAGGAGCATATTGCCCAACTATGGCAGAAGAAGCTATAATTGTGAAAAAATCTGGTGTAGTGTTTCTTGGTGGTCCACCATTAGTAAAAGCTGCCACTGGAGAAATAGTTTCTGAGCAAGATCTTGGTGGAGCTGATATGCATTGCAGGTAACATTAGAAAGCCTATTGGTACATACAGTTTTTAATTATTGAACATAATTTTTAAAGTTTTAAATCATTTTATAATAAAGTTGAATTAAGATTTTTTAAATCCTCTTCTCCGCGCCAGTATGCTACTATAATTGAAAAATAAATTTAGTAATTTAAACTTATTCTGTTTTTCCCTTTCTTTTCTTCTTTCTTTCTTTCTTTTCTTTTTTTTTTTTTTTTTTTTTTTTTTTTGGTAAATGAATCCATTGCTGATGAATGCAGGTGACTGAAATTATGGAATTTTTTTTCTATTGAAAAAATGTGGAGTAATTATACACTCTGTTGCAAAAAAAAAAAAAAAAAAAAATAAAAATATATATATATTATATATATATGCCTCCAGAAAAAATTCACCAACAACTACAAAACTCTGCTTACAAATGTGGTATGTTGATTTGTATAATGATTAAATTTGCAGGACTAACCAGCATCGTGGAGCGATACAATGAGCGTCTGAAGTGCACAGCTGGTAAATGTAAAAGGGGAGGTGTAGCGAGGGACAAGCATTTATAATCACAACTGAGTGCTTGGATGCACAACTCTGAAAGGAAAGATGCCTTTAAGAAGTACTCAACAGCATTATGAACAGTTGTCAGATTTTGATAGCACTGCATCATAAGACTAAAAGAGGCTGATCGGTCGAATACGCAGATCGGCTAGTATGTTGATCGAAGGAATATGGTCATTGTCCATTGTTGGAACCAGTGACTAGTGAAGGCATAGTCAGCCATTGTAGTGGCTCCGGACATCCACAGGCCGCCCATGCGTGGGGTAATCATGCAATTAGAAGAGCTGCTACATCCACACCAACAGTTAATCTATCATCGATTCAATGTCGTTTACCAATTTGCAAGGATCCTGGGATATGCAGGAATATGATTCGTAGAAGACTAGGTGATGCTGGGCTGAGATCTCTATGTTCATTAAGACACTTGTCATTAACACTTCACTATAAGCAGGATCATCTTGTATGGTGCTGCTATTGCTCAAGTTGGATGGTGTATGATCGTACTTCAGTGACGAATCAGGCTTTTCTTGTAATGCTGATGAACGCGACATACGCGTCTGGAGACGGAACGATGAGCAGTCCAATGTACCATTTGTTGCCAATCAGCACACAGCCAAAACACAGGATATGATAGTTTGAGGAGTGATCAGCTGGGACAGCCGTTCACCATTAATTGTGCTTTGAGGTACTCTGACTGCTCCCAGGTATGTTGACGACATTTTGCAGCCAATTGTTCTGCCTATGCTAACAGGTCGTCCAGGTTCAATTACCCTGCAGGATAATGTTTGGCCATATACAACACAACTTCCTGAACAATATCTTTGCTGTATTAATATGCTTGTCTGGCCTGACAGTTCTCCAGACCTGTCACCTATGGAACATGTTGGGCAGGCAAATTCAGCCGTGTATAAATACACCGCAACTTGCCAACCAAATTCTCCATTTGTGTAGCTCTCCAGATGATCAGGTTGTGACCAAAGCAGAATTGATAAGTTCTATTCCATAAAACATTTTACTTAAACTCTGTTTAGAATAAACGGATGGAAGTTTTTTATTTCCACCTCGTACATGCTTAGATGCAGCACGTTGAACAGCAGTTAAGTTCATAAAAAAAACAACTTGCAGGGTTCAAAAATTAGCATTTTCAGAGTTTTTAGTTAATATCTTGGCTCATTAAAATCATACAAAGATGAGAATGGTTGAAATGGCTTCCCATGAATTTTTGGAATTTGGGGAGGACTTCGCTCAAAACTCAAAAACAGACAGACTAATGTGCACAGAATTTAATAACATTAAATTCACATTTTATTTGCTATATTTCATATATTTACAATGTATTTAAAGCTCTTTGAATGTGTATGCATGCTTTATTGCACGAATTTATTTCATAATACACTCTTAGACAAAAAAAAAAAAAAAAAAAAAAAAAACGCACCAAGAAGGAGTTATCCGAATGGGACTAAAATCAGTAGAAGTGATGTTCATGTACAGAAAAAAAAAAAAAAAAATACAGTTTGAGAAAAATTGGATGATTTATTGAAGTGATAAAGCTTTACAAAGTGAAAAAGTCGGTAATGCGTCTGTCCACCTCTGGCCCTTATGCAAGCAGTCATTCGGCTTGGCATCGATTAATAGAAGTTGCGGATGTCCTCTTGAGGGATATCGTGCGAAATTCTGTCCAAATGGTGCGTTACATCGTCAACATCTCGAGCTGGTTGGAAGGTCCTGTCCATAATGCTCCAAATGTGCTCAATAGGAGAGAGATCCGGTGACCTTGCAGGCCAAGGTAATGTTTGGCAAGCACTAAGGCAAGCAGTAGAAATGTGTAGTGTGGGGGCGGGCATTATCTTGCTGAAATGTAAGCCCAAGGTGGCGTGACATGAAGAGCAACACAACGGGCCTTAGAAACTCATCAACGTACCGCTGTGCTGTAAGGTTGCGACAGATGACAACCAAAGGGCTCCTACCGTGAAATTAAATTGCACCCCAGATCATCACTTCTGGTTGTCGTCCTGTCTGCTGGAAGACAGGTTGGTATTACACCGCTGTCCGGGGCATCTCCAGACTCGCCTTTGCTGCTGGTCATCGGGGCTCAGTTCAAAGCAGAACTCATCACTAAAGACTATTCTACTCCAGTCAGTGGCATTCCAGTGCGAATGAGCCCGACACCACTGCAAACGGGCTTGTCATTGTACAGAGGCGAATGGTAGTCTGCACAAGGGTCGTCGTGACCTCAGCCCCCTTTCTGTGAGCCGTCTGTGAATGGTCCTTGAGGTCACTAAAGCACTAGTTGCACGTACAATCGATGATAATCATGCATCTGGGGCTGTGAGTGCCGCTCTGACAATTGCTCGGTCTTCACATTCTGTTGTTCCTCTAGGCCTACCGCTTCCTTCTTGACGCTGTGTGCGGCCATGGTTCACCCATTCCTGCCAACATCGTCTAATAGTAGCATCGCTCCCGCTCAAATGTCGAGCTATTCGCCGATAAGACCAACTGGCTTCTTTGAGCCCAACTACACTACCTCTCTCAAATTCTCACATCTGCGCATATCGTTCGCGCAACTGTATGCAAGGCATAGTTACTGTTTACCAGAGTATACGGAATGAAATTCGTGAAGAATATATGACCTGGAATCATAATTTCTCCTCTTAAACATCCTGCCAGTTGTGCAGATCAGATGCGCTGTAGCGACAACTGTTCATTCATTGGCAGTGAAAATATAAAATTTTGCATTTTCCGTCGAAATCTGTATGCATATCAATTTATGTCCAATTTGCTTTATATCATCTCGGTATGTCGTGGTGCGTTGTTTTTTTTTTTTTTTTTTTTTTCTGTCTAAGAGTCTATATCATGAATAAGAAAGACTTTATCTATATAGAGTGGCAGATAAAGGAAAGTGGGAGTATGTGATTATACTTATTCTCTTTAGAAATTTGAAATAAGTGAAAATTCTTTACTATCACATTTGAAAACAAGTGCTTATTTACTAGTTGCTAAATATTAGAGATATATAGATGATTTGAAGTTGAAATGTTATGATAATCTTAGAAAAAGTGCTTCTATACTAAATAATATTGCAATTAAAGACTAGAAATATAACTAGAATTGTGTTAGATTTGTAAGTATCAGTTTTTAACTGTATTCAGAAATTGTAATTATTATGTATTAAAAATATTTGGCTGTAACAAAAGTTTTCTGCCAAAAAATGTTCTTAATAAAGTTAGAAAAAAAAAATAAAAGCAGCATCTTTAGCACAGGTAGTAATCACCACTATCATTTTCTGCCAACGTTTTGGTAGTTTTTCAAAGCTTTCAGTCCAGAAACTTGGTGTCTGTGAGTCCAAAAATAGATCAACCTCGTTTCAAACGTCTTATGCAGAATGGAAGATAGCATGAGCAAGATGTGGCTGCAGGTGTGAAAAAAGGTAGAAGTCCAAAGGAGTGATGTTGGGGCTATATGGTGGGTGTGGCAAGAGGTCCCATTCGAGTCTGTGCAGAGACAAGCCGATGAATGCTGACATGTGGTCTTGCATTATCTTGGTGTAATGTTACCTTTTTGTGCCAGAACTCAGTTTGACGTTTTTCCTTGATATCAACCTCAACACAGACTAGAATCTCGCTGTACACCTGACTGTCAAGGGATTCCAGATACTCTTTCTTTATCCTTTACAGATAATACAATGGCAATCCGACCAGATACAAAGCATGATCTTTTTGTTAGTCAAACTGCACTTTGCAACATTGCTGATGGGCTTGTAAGAAATTTTCTTTGGAAATATGTTTTAATCACCAGTAGAGGGCATGAATGCTTTAATGATGTACAGTCAAAAGTCTTTAATCTGGATGTCCATAATCCGGACCTCAAAGCTATAAATTTTCTGCGCATGCGTAAACGCATAATGCGTCTACGCATGCTTGTAATACGTTTATGCATGCACGTTTAATGTATAACCGATGGTATAAGCTAAGCTAAAATTATCTAATTATCTACTTCAGTCACATTAATTGGATCCGGCTTATTAATTTTTGCAGATTGTTAGAGCAATTTTATAAAAGTAAGCTTGAACTTTCGATTATGTCAAATAGAATTTTCGATTCTGAGCTGCCAAAGGATCTACAAGTGAAAGCATGTTTCAATGTCCATTAAACAAAAGTGGGAATAGCTGCAAAAATGGATAAAGGCATGAAGAAAGTGACAGAGAGGTGATTTGTTCTCTAACCATTCCGAAATCTGGTTTAGCAATTTCACGCTGCTCTGCGGGGAAGGGGGGGCAACGTCGTGGCGCGCCATGAACTGGAAGTGGTTTGTCAGAATAACCTCATCTTCAGGGGAGATGTTTGTATTTTATTCGTTATAATTCCATACTAAATTCAGTGTTTCATCTCGATGCTCTCCGATTGATTTAAATCAATATCCTCGTCATTATAAATATCACGGACTATGTGTT